GGTCGATGAGTGGAGAATATACAAGGACGTTTTTCCAGGGGGGAGGGGTCAAATGCACGTTAGGTCAATACCGCGAGTGAGGTTTTCAATAAATAGCTAAAATGATTGAGCAGTTTAATCACTGACAGGCTTCTTTGAATGTTCATTGATGTAAAGTACTTCTGTAGGAAAGCAAGAATATTTTATGGACATGAATGCTTTGAAAAGGAAGTCAAACAACCTTGAGGCACATCTCGAAAGTCTCCATGGGAAATGGCCTCCAGGTCCCAGTCTAAGTCCGTATCGGTCACGTGTTTTTTGCTGAGCATTTGAGCAAGTGCTTCATATAAATCGTCATCATCTATAAGAAGGAACAAAGGATGTTCAAATTCATAGACAATATCTCAGTGAAAAAGCTAAAGGAAAAGAGACTAATGCCTAATGAGCACATGAACACTGAAAGAGAATAAAGAAATGCAGAATGAATTATTACAGCTCTTTACACTTAAGGACCTTCAAGACTAAGCAGGGTCAAGCTGACGTTGCCTTTTGATTAGCTGTTTCCTTCATAGCTAATAGTACATCAATAATTCCCAACAAAACTTTTTCTGTTACCACTGTCAGAGTCCTTGTTGGCTAGAATACCATCTTTGTCCTTCATCTTGTATGCAAGTAGCTCTTTCTCTGCACAAGAAACATAAGAAGTTTTGTACTAAGTTGTCTGAAGTCCCTGCTTCTTCACACATCAGTAATCTGACTTTTGTCCAAGAAACTCACCCAGTTTGTGTTTCTCTTTTTCCAGTCTTTCCTTAGCACTTGTTAGAGTTTTGATGGCCTCATCTTGTGTGTCAACCTTAAATTGCACATGTCACATTAGCTATTTTAACATGTATCTGATACATTTCAAATCTATGCTCATCATCTGTGATTTTACTTTTATGCACTAGTAATGTTATTGGCCATCCAGTACCACAGCAGCTATTATCTGCTACCAGAGTCAATGTCTGTCTTGTTTTTGTGTTTGTTCCCTCATGGTATAAAAAGCCTTTAACACTTTCACTCCCAAGATCTCAATTATTTATAGTAATTCTCCTTGCTGTCTGCCATAGAATTCTTATGATGTTAGTTGGGAGAATTTGGTATTGGATTGATCAATTAACAATCCCCTAGTTGACATTTTTCTTTATTTTCATCACTTGTCTGCTTGATCTTGTATTGATATTGTAAGGAGATTTCCCATCTTGGTCACTCATGGGAGTTAAAGGGTTCATGTGAGACCAGAAGATAATGCAACCAGACTTTTTTTCTGTCTTTAACAAACCAGAAACAAAACAAACTTACAACAGCTCTGAGAGTCTTTATTTCATGTTGCATCCTCACTACACAAGTGGCCTGAGCCTGGTAAGCCTCAAGACTTTTCTCTCTCCTGTAAATCAGTAAAATCCAAGAGTGTTAAGTTGCAAAAACCTGCAGCAATTGGCCAGGCGTAGTGTATGGAAAAGGTGTCATTTTTTTTCTTTTTAAGCAAGCAGAGGAAACACAAGGGGAGCATGGGGGGATGGGGATTGAGCATATGGAAAGGATCACGAAGAGAAAAAAAGAAAAAGAGAAAGACTTAATCCTTTCATGAAAAATACTCAATACTTAACCATTTTCTTATGTCATCATCCATAGCTTTTAGGTCTCCTTCACTTCTAAAGGTCCCAGAGTAGTCTGAACCTGGTAAGAAAGTATGAACTTGTCACTTTCCCCTTTTTTCATTCTTAAGTAAAAGAGGTGCAATTAAGTCATGGGTGGCAAGTAGTCTCTGAAGAAAGAGAGAATTTTCCCCTCCACTTCTACTCATGATAAGTGGCCATTTTATACTCTGGATAAAAGGAACACCTGATCACAGGGAAACAAAAACTTAATATATTTACTGGTATTATCATCAAAATGAACAACTTACCAGTGAATGGGGGAAGGTAACACATCAATGTGCTATTGATCCAGTTATCTGTCAAATCACTAGAAAAAATAACTAGATCAATGATGAATGGAAGCAATTTTGAAGCAAATTAATCAAACTCATATAAGAATTAGGAAAGGAATTGTGTATCTTACGTAAATCTGCTACAAAGAACCACATCATCAGTGAAACCATTTTTCTTGAAGAAATCAACAGCATCATTGTCAGCATACACAGCAATACTGTCATAAGGACCAATGATGATAGGATCTTTTAGACTCTGGAAGTGTAATAAACAAGGAAAAAAAATATGAAATATGTTGGAAAATATGTCACTTGTTCCAACTACATTCCTCTCCAAGACCTTGCCCATGCAGAGGATCAGACCACTCCTTATAGCATACTTCCTGTAGGACTATCACAGTAACTATAACATTTGTAATTGCAGTCACTAAAATTGAGACTGCCACTCTCATGAGCAACCACATCAAGAATTATATGGGCAACTGCTGTGCCACATGACAATTGTCAGATCAATCCTTCCATTTCCAGGAGGGACCAAACAGTGCAGAGAAATAAGGGATTAACCCACAATATCCTGGTATCAAAATTATAGAGAACTCACTTCAAGGAGAAACCTTCCAATTCCTGATTTGCGACACCTTTTCCTGATTCCAAGTAAGCTCAGTTGCATAACTTTCTCTGAGGGCTTATGACGCGTTGTACTAACAAAAAACAAGCATGTTACGGGTCTTTAATAATTTCATTATTTTTAAACAAATTTTTCAACTTTTTGGAACTCAACTCAAACATGTTTGAATCAAATCCCTTACCTATATGAACGTTCAAAGGTGGCAGCTCCAATGATCAAAGATTCTATTCCTAGATTGGACTCTGAAACTAAATCAGAATCATTTTCATTACACCTATACACATAAATGGTTTCATACTTAACAAGTATTATTTGCTATGTTACTTTCAAATACAAAAGAAAATGGTTATCACCATTGTTATTTTGCCTCTCTATTCTCCTTTTTTTAACTGCCTCAACAAAATCCTCAGCTCCTTTTGAGAAGTCTTCTTCTTCATCTTCACTGTCAAATAAAAAATTTACCCTTTAGCCTTTAAGATTGACTGAGTTCTAATTTCTCCTCACAGTATCATCCTTTAATCAAATGCAAAGGTCATGAGAATATAGGAAATGATCAACAATTTAAGAAGCTCCTGATCTTCAAACAGATTTTCCTTTTCAGTATGATATAAAATGTACTAATTTTAGTACGTAAATGATTAATGTAACATTGATTCCACTTTGCAACTCTCACAATTCAGAGAGGGACATTATCCAGTGCTTAGTGACATTCACATGGAGAATACCCTCTGCTAAATGTGTGCCCAAAAATTAATATTCATTTTTCCTTAATCTAAAGTATGGGAGATAAAATGTACGTAAATTTTTTCAGCTTTCTTTTCATTCTGATCCTTCACAGTAACACTGACTCAAACACAGATACCTTATTTTGAATTTTCACATTCCAGGATAAAAAGAGACACATCAGAAAATGTACAGTTTCACTATATCTACCTTTCAGCAGTTGCATCACTGTCATCTGTGTCACTAAACACACCATCAAACTTTCCTGGCTCAACATCCTTCTCCTTTTCCTTAGTTTCATTCTCCTTCCTTTCCTCTGCTTTATCATTCTTCTCGGTTTCATTATACTTGTGCTTCTTTTTCTCCTTACTGTCACATTTACAAATGTTTCTCTCCATGGAGCGCTCATCACAAACAGCATTTAAATCTTCTGCACTTTCATCATCCTCTTGTGAACTTTCATCAGCAGAGTCAGTAGGTTCATTTTTTACATCTGGTGCATCATTCCAAGAGACTTGTTTACTCAGTTTCTTTGTTTTTTTATTGTTATTTCCAGTTTCTTGTTTAACAGCAGGTAAATTTTCTGATTTCATTTCTGCAGACTGTTCATCAAAAACATCTCTCCACAGTTCACTGCTAATAAATGGTTTCAAACTATCTTCAGTCAACTCTGGATCTTCGTCACTTTCTTGAGTAACACCTTTCATCTCAAGCAAGAGATCTAATTTTTGAACAACAAGAGAATCAAACTAAATTAATTTTAATGTATGAAACACAGTCATTGTGAGTCAGACCAGTGGTTTCCTTTTTTCAACATAAATTTGATCAAAAAGAATAAAATTCCTTGTTTGCATTGCAAAGAATATCTGTGACAAAAAAAAACATTAAGGCCTGAAATAAAGAGAATTAAGGCTTTAGTATAAGGATCTCAAAGGGATAACTTTATCCAGAAATTTTCAAATAATAATTTACAGTGGTTCGTTTCAAGATCAATAAATTCAGTTAAATAATATATTACAGGATTTCAAGGGACTTTCTACGAATAATTTTTCGTCAAGTCCTTACAAAAAAACCATCCGATATTAAAGATCGTCCTCAATATCCCCTGAGTAATGCTGTAAATTTAACCAAACATCCCTAAAAAAATTCGAAAAAAATAAATTACTAATCAGATTAAGTTTGCGGTAGAACAACAATATTTAATTTTGTATAAACAACCTTGAAAGTCTCTAAGTAAAACGATTGTTTTTGCCCATTTTCCGCAGACTGTTGGATACAGAACCTCAGGTGTAATCTCTGGAAGGCAGGTATCATACAATGCTACAACCGCATGGAGCAGATCTTGATTAGAGACCTAAAAGAAAAAGGAAGTGACATGTAAACATTGGCTGGAGTCCTTAGTAACGAGAACAAAGTTCATTTTCAAGAGAGAAATCACACAGTCAAACGCACTTACTCCTTCGATTGCAGTAATGCTTGATTCTAGCAACCTATTGAACTCTATTAAATATGGCTGGACCCGAACTTTCCTTTCCGATTTTGCAGAATAGAAACGAAACCTGGAAGGCATCTTCCAGCAAATCGAATTGACCGCCATCTTGATTCTTTACAAGTTATCCGCTGATTTAAATAATCGCAGTCGACGCTCTTCAGTGTTGATCATGCGCATCACAACTGATTTTTTAGAGGTAAAATGGCTACTCGGGACTTCTTCGGAGTTTGTAATGATATTGATATTCGGTCGAAATTTAACCCGCTATCGTAGAGAATGCGGGTAGAGTTAGAAACTAATGTACGTGTAGAATCCATCTTTTAGCGGTCCGGCGCCTTATATTGAACTAAACCTGAAAATGGCAGATATTTTTCGCTCTGCATTGAACTACATAAGCCAAACTGGGAAGTCGGACAATAACTTCGTGGGGCAGTATGTCGAGTTAGGACCTGTACAACTCAGAGTACGACGAGTCATCGCAGAGGGTCAGTTACTGTCTTATCTTTAAATTAGATTTGAAGCTGATTATCATTTGTTCCTCGCCGTGATTATTGTTACAGACTTAATGGTATTTTAACAATTGTGTTTTGGTTTTCTAATGTAGGAGGGTACGGATTTGTTTTCGTCGCCCAGGACACGTCAACTGGCAAAGAATATGCTCTCAAGGTACAACTGAATTTCACTATTTATTAAGTATACATCCTGTCTTTCTGTCTATTATCAAAGAGGGAAGGTTGTCGCGATGACAGACAGAAAAGTTAGTAGTAACCGGTGTTCTGACGTAATAACATGACTACACTTGATTAATCATGCAAAAGGTAAGAAGATCATCGTCAATTTTTATCAAAATGGAAAATTTCGAGAGGTCGATGTGCTATTTTAGCTGTTTTTGTTGTTGACAGATAAAAAATCGAGATCAGACAAGGTCAAAAACTGTTTGTGAGCCACTTAGAAACAAATGCTTCTTTGAGTGGGTGGGCATTCTTTATTGTGGTATTTTTCAAATATCATTTGTTTTCAGAGCAATGATTCTTTAACAACATGAGTTTGCATTTTATTAGAGTTTATTTGTATGTTAAAATGATCTTAGGTGAAAATTATTTTAAATTTATTAGATTGTTAAATGTTTTTACCTTTTTAAGGATTAAAGTAATCTTACTGGAACAATTTAAAAACAAAAAAACTATTCTTACAACATTTTGGGTTAAATGACTTTTATCAGTTGCTTGTGAAATTAATTTTTCTTTGTTTAAACTTTTCATCACAAATTGCTCTACAATGAGAAGTCCAAACATGAAGGAAATTAAATATTAATTGAGGATAAAATTGAATCACAACCAATTTTACCAAAGATACATCATTACTTTCTAAACTGGATTCTTTATTTTTACCCATTATTCTTAAAATCTGCTGAAGGAGGTATGTGACAACAGATAATTTAGCTTGTTAGCTATTTGGGGTTTGCGATATCCAACATCTAACAGACTTGTAATAAGGTTTGGTCTTTAGAGTAACAAGTGTATCATGTTTCATTACCAGGAAACTTTGGTCTTTCTGTAGCTGCTTCACTATATAATATTAAAGTTGATGATTAAAAACAATTTTTATTTTCTATCATGTTTACAATTATGATTACTATAAATATATAATAATGATAATGACAACATTAGTATGATTATATCTATGTCTATTGTTTTACTAGGTTGATAACAGTAGATAAAATACAGTTTAACTTTTTTGCTCTTCATTCTAAATCAGTGACCTCCTGTGAATTAACATTTGGAATATGTTTCCTTTTTGTAGCGACTTATGGCAGGTGATGATGCAGCCAATAAAGCTATCCTAAAGGAAATAACAATCCTTGTATCCTTTTTCTACAGTAGATGTTATTGGTTTACATTCTTCAGCGTAAGGAATTTTTTAGCAAAGGACATTAAGTTGATTCAAACTCAGTTGTTCCTGTGAAAACATAGGAGGGTATGTTTCTGTTTTGATGGGTATGCATTCATCTGTGTACTTTGTTACAGCATAAGGAATCAACAATCTGTAAGCAAAGTATCTTATAAGTATTAGCTCTGGTTTGTAACAAGCATGAAGTAGCCAGGAGTGTCTGTACAGGGAGTGCCATCTTAACTCCTTAACTATTTAAAGAAACGTCTCAGAGGACATCCAAACATAGTGCAGTTTTATTCTGCAGCATCTTTGAGTGAAAAGGAAACTGAACATGGAATGTCTGAATTTCTTATCCTAACTGAACTTTGCAGTGGTAAATATTATTTTTGCCTGCTTCAGAATAATTAAGATTCCACTTTATTTTGAGCATTTACAATTGTTGATAGGATTCAAACAATATCTGCTTGTGTTAACCCTTTAATTCCCAAGATCAAGTTGTTAATTCTCCCCTCTAGCTGCAATACATTTCTCTGTAAATATGTTACAAGAATTTGGTATTACAACTTCTATCTGATGGGTTTGAGTATTCTCATTACCTGTCTGCTGAATAGGGTACAGATATTATAGGGAGAAGTTACATGTTAATCACTGTTGGGGATTAAAGGATTAAAAGGATTTTTCAAAAACTACTTCTCCTTTTCAACAGGAGGAGAGCTGGTTAAGCTGCTACAGGAAAGGTATGGACAGCCATATCCACCGAACCAGGTTTTGAAGATGTTCTATCAAATCTGCCGAGCAGTTGCTTACATGCACAAACAGACTCCACCAGTTATACACAGAGACTTGAAGGTGAGCATGGCATTTGGAAAGCAGGGATGGTACTGTAGTGAAAAAACTCACCTCCCACTGCTGGGCCCAGTTTTGATTTCCAGCATGGCACTACTAGTGGGTTGAGTTTGTTTTTGGTTCTGATCTTTACAGGGAGAGTTTTTCTTCAGGTCTTTTTGCTTTTCCTCCCTCACTAATGGCCAACACTCCAAATTCTAGATTAAATTTGAAAAACAGTGGAAAAAGAGCCAACCCATGGAGGTGCCTCTGCCTAATTCAAATTTATTTATTATTTACTGTATTTGATATTTAATAATTTTTACTTTGTTTGTGAACATTAAATCATTTGGCTCTTATTTTTCCTAAGTTAGATAATGCAATTCTTTGGATTAAAAAATGATCTTATGGGATTAGCTATTAATAGCAAACAAACTGTGCCATACTGTGGATACTGATTCACATATATGGTGTTTATTAGTTTTCAAATCTATTTGGTTTCTATTTCCTTTGTTTAATGTTATGATGATAAATATAATTGTCATGTTAATCAAGAAGACCTAGCATTTCTGAATTTTGTTTGTTTTTTTTCATTAATTTATATTTTATTATGATTTTCTGCATGCATGAAATTTTATTCACTTTTAAATTGAGCCTTTGAGTTTTTTTAGGTTGAAAATCTTCTCATCGGTGCAAAAGGCCAAATCAAACTTTGTGATTTTGGTAGCTCAACTACTCAGCAACAAATACCTGATGAGTCTTGGACAGCACTCCAGCGTAGTCTTGTTGAAGATGAGGTAATTCAAATTTGCTAGTATTCAATTAAGAGTGAAGATTTGTGTTATGTTTAGTTGGATGGTGATAGTGCCTGTCGAGATCAAGATCTTTGAAGCCCTTAGGAGAAATCAGAATAAAATTTAATCTTGTGATAACCTCCATTTTGCTTTTATACACTATTTATCAGCTCCAACGGAACACAACCCCCATGTACCGTGCACCAGAAATGATTGACTTGTACAGTAATATGCCAATCACTGAAAAAGTTGACATTTGGGTAAGTATCAAACTTCCACTTGTATCATAGCAGAGCTTGCGTAGCCCCATAATTATACAAAATAGTAGTAACCCATCAAGCCGAAAAAATTTGGATGTACAACCATACGACCATACAACTGTACGACCGTACAAGGTGCTACTTTTAACATGCATGGTCAACTGTACCATGGGCACACCAACGCCACAGCTTTGTCCAGTAGTCCAGTGGTCAGTGCACTATACTCCAAGTTGGTTGACCCGAGTTCTAGTCCTGGCCGGGGCAAGGCGTTGTGCCCTTGAGACATGCGGGAAAAAAAAAATGCGAGCTCCGCTTTTAGGCTTGGCTAAATCTATATATTAGTCTTTATATAAGATTACTCTAATGTTTAAGGGCGGTACCATTGGTTGCCATTTGGTATATGGCTAAATGATTGTGTTGTACATCTGGACTTAGCTATTTTAGGAATCAAACACATTTATGTAATATTGAATTGCAATTGTCAAATCTTTAGGTAACTTCTCTATTGATTGTTTGAATATGATGTTTATGTTTTGTAGGCCCTTGGGTGTACTTTGTTCTTCTTGTGTTTTATGGAACACCCATTTGAAGACTCAGCCAAGCTGAGAATACTGAATGCAAAATACACCATCCCAGAGAATGACACTAAATACACAGTATTCCATGACCTTATCAGTGAGTGATATTTTACTGTTATGTTTAATTACTTCTAGGTGCATGTATGGATTTGATCATGAATAATTTAACTGTTTAACTTCCAAGATGTGATTGTTGATACCATAGGGTTAACCTCCAAACTTCCTTTTCTAGAAGTACCTTTTTTTCTTAGTTTTTCTTTAACCTGTATATATAGTTTGCTTCTAGAATAAATAAAGTATGTATGTATGTACCATCCCCCTAGCTGCTACACATTTCCATATAAATTAGTTTTGAGAGTTTGGTTTTAGAGCCAGATAACAACTGCCACCTGATAAGTTTGAGTATTCCTATTACCTGTTTGCTGGATAATGTATGGATATTTCTAAGGAGAGGTTACATGTTAATCACCTCTGGAAGTGTAAGGGTTAAAAAAATTGTCTGTTTACTGTATTGTTCTTCCAGAATTGAAACCACATATCAGTTACCATTTAATTTAGTAAAAGCTAGTAACAGAAAGATTATTTAATGTGTAGGATACATGCTTCAAGTGAACCCAGCTGACAGACCAGATATAAAGGAAGTTCTTACAGGTCTTGAAGCCATTGCAATAGCCATGGATGTTGATCTTAAGGGTAAAGTGGTAAGTACACAATTCTCTTTATTCCTCATGGACCAAAGTGACTTTCACTACAGCCCTCTAACAGTTTCTCCTTTGTGTTGTCTTGTTAACCTGTTCCCATGACTTTTTTATAATAAACTGAATGATTCATGCCTTTTTATTGTTTCCTACTTATGATCTGTTAGAAGACAGACCCATAGTTTACATCACCATTGACAACATTTTATTCTTTATCCTGTAAAGCAAAATAGGTTCCATGTTGCCATGGGTCTGTTTAGTAATAGATTACAGAAGGCATCAAAATGTGGTAAGAACATTGATGACACACTCAGCTGTACCTTATTTGTTACTTTTTTGTTCTTACCACACTCTGATGTCATCTGTGATCTATCACTGTACCTTCACACAGCATCATGGAATCTATTTGTGAAATAGACCATACCCTAGAGATCATGTTTTTTTTTTGTACCTCTTGTTGATTCTTGTTAATTTCTGTGCAATTTAAATTGATTATTTTAAATTGAATTTGGAAAAAGGTAGCTTCTGTTTTAAAATTTTTGCCTCTATTGCAATTTTAGAGAGATGATCTCCCACAGTCTTCTGGAGAACAATCATCTCAAGGTGAGCTTACACACCTGCTATGATTTCAACCTTGCATATCCACGTAGGACACCTCTTCCAGGCAATAAAATGCTTCTTTCAATACCCTGTAGGATTGTTGTGATTCATGTAACCTGTATTGGTCATAAAATTTTGTTCAGGACATTTACTAAAGGTGGATCCTCTCCCTTTTTGTAAAAATGTAAACCATCAAGTTACACCACTTTTTTGGAGGTTCCCAATACTTAAATGTAAGATTATTAAACCATCTTAACAAGAATACTCGCACTTAAAATATATTAATACTCAAACCTATCAGGTAGAAGTTGTCATCTAGTTTTAACTTCAAATTTTCGTAATTACTTCACAAGGAAATGTGTGGTAGCAAGAGGAGTGAATTATTGATCAGATCTTAGGAGATAAAGGGTTAAGTGCCAATTGTTTATTAGCAAACAAAGGTGTCTGTTGAATTGTGTGTTCATCATAAATCTTCTGTCTGTTATAGTTGGTGCAAGTGGCCCACCTGTGTCACCATCTCCATCATCAGGAAATTCTGCAATACTTGGTGGAGTAGTCAAAGGGGCCAACAGTTTTTTCAGTAACATAAAGGATATGTCCAACAAGGTTATGCAATCTGTGGCAGGGTAAGAAATCATTTGATGTATGCTGCATTTAATCAAGTTGTTGCTCATTCATTGTTTCCCTGGTCACTTTAGTGCAATGAAAGGGTTAGCTTGGACTTTGGTAAATATTTATTTCCAATCATACTTAAAAGTTATAAATGTAAACTTCACTTGGAATGCTGTTGTTACTTTTAAACTCAAACCAATTCTCAAATCTTTGCCTCTCATTAGATATGTCAAGAATGATATTGACTTGTCGTACATTACATCTCGAATCATGGGTAGGTACATTCCAGAGAATCTCCATCCTGTCTCTAGAAAATTTTTTTTCCCAAAATTTGTCATAACATTTTGTGTTAGCTAATTTACTTTTCATTGTTTGTGTCTTTGCAGTAATGTCTTTCCCAGCAGATGGGATTGAGTCAACTTACAAAAACAATATAGATGATGTGAGAGATTTCCTCGATGCAAAATACCCAGATAATTACTTGATCATCAATGTATCACCCAGAACATACAGAACAGAGAAGCTTGGAGATAGGGTATGTTTGATTTGATTAAAAACTGTTGATTTGGTGGCTAAATTGAAGGGTCGTTGAAGTTGACACTGCTATATTTACATTCTTTTTAATCTTTTTTTTCTAGTTATATTGCAGAAAATGTATCCCACATATCTCTTTTTTATGTTACTACCCTTTGCAATCTATAATTACCACTATGTAAAGTTCTAAATTTGAATTATTTTTCACATGTACCTTGGTACTATTCATTTATCTTGGATAAATAAAATATCAGAATTGACTGATTTGCCTCTTACTGCTTAGTTCAGTTGGTTGGGCATTGTAGTGGTGTGACGAAAGTCACATGTTGTTTTCAACTCCTGCCAACACACATTGTCTCTATAGCACTCCTTAGGGGGCTTTCCAACATCAATTTTGTAAAAGAAACTTTGCCATCTTTGGAATTGATAATTAATTTGAAATTAACAGCTACTTCTACTACTATTTTTTCTTACAGATTATGTAACCTTATTTCTAGAGTGTGATTTACTTAATTAAAAGGTTGTAGCATTGATGGCTATTTTAACTGTGATCACAGGTGATAAACTGCTGCTTAGTGGGTCACAGGCTGCCTCCTTTAGAGAAGCTGCTATCCCTGTGTAGGAAAATCAATTCTTGGTTAAGGACTGACAGGAAGCATGTTGTAGTCATTCACTGTCAGGTACACAATCTTGAAACTATGGTTGAGAAGTAAGGTTTTTTTCAGTCTTAAACTACAGTGTTTGTACAGTGTTAATGCAGCATATATGACTAATGTAATACTTTTGGTTTATCACTTAAGCTATTTTAAAGGTTATTATATGAATATGTGATTGTAGTAGGAGAGGAAGGAGTCCAATTTAATCAGTAATCATACAATTTCTTAATTACTAGTCTGATTACAGACAGATGTGGAAGACTTCAAGTTTTGTTACCAAGTAATCAAAACTATGACAAAATTTGAGAAAGGATCCCACAACAGACAACTGTTTAAGTGGCAAAATGCACTACAACAGCAAACATTCATATTGTGTACTGTACAGTTACACAGGCATGGTGCATACACTGTCCAATTACAAGCATGATGCATACATTGTCCTTTTAGCCCTCAAATCAGATTGATGATAACCAATTACAGTTGAGAACTTTGATATTAACAGTTTTGATTAGTAATCAGTGGTGTTCTTAAGATTAAAATAGCTACAGTGACAAACTCTTTAAAACACCTCTTCATGCTTTAGCTTCATGTTGAGAGGCACCTATTAATTTTAATGATCTTCTTTTCATTTAAAATTTCTTTGGCAAGTGTTTGATGTATGTACTTCCCCAAGTGTGTGCTAAGTTACATAATGAATAATGTTAAACCTAATATTTACCTCTCATCATTCAGGATGGCAAAGAAGCATCAAGCGTTATTGTTGCTGCTTTTTTTGTCTTCTGTAAATTGTTCAAAAATCCAAATGGAGCTGCAGACATGTTCAGTATTCGCCGCTGTGGTATTGGACACAAAGTTTCACTCACTGCTTCACAGGAGCGGTAGGTGTTAATTTCTGTAATCAAGAAACTGTGTACTTTTTTTTTACCAGTACACATATGATTGACCTTAAAGTACTGTATTTGTAGTGCATTAATAATTTTTTTTTTAAACTCTTTAGCTATTTACTGTACATCACACAACTGATCAATAACCAAGAATTGAAACCTCACAAGTATTCAGTGTATATCAAGTCTGTAACAATGTATCCAGTTCCAGCCTTCAACAAAGCCAGGTAAAGACTTTCACGCAAGCCAAGCTTAAGACTGTTGCTGCCATTTTAAATACATCTCTCATTCTTCTGACTCATCTTCTTTTACAGCAATTCTGTTGCCCCTATAATTTTTTGAGTTTGGCTCATTGTGATTTTAGAACAGGAACCTAAAATGTTCTCATCCTTTGTTAGGAATGGTTGCCGTCCATTTATTGAGGTTTACAATGGAGAACAGAGAATCCTTACCACAGTAAAAGAGATTGAAAAAATGAGGTAGAGAGTTTGCAATTGAAAAATGTAATTTAGGGTTTGACATAAATTGAATACGGCTTACTAACCAAGTTGGAGGTCCATACTGTGAGATATAGACCATGTAGAAAAAAGTAGATTCTGTAACTTACAGTACAGACTAGGAAAATAGGTTGATAAATATTTATTACATCTCTGGTCTCAAATTGAGGGGCAAAATTTCAATTCAAACAAGCCATTGAATGTAGCAGGCTGTACAGTGAAATATGGCTTGATTAATTCACCAATCAATAGCACACATGCTACATTTGTAACAGAGAGATATTTTAGAAGAATTAATTTCCAAGTTCAAATCATTTATACTTTTTTTTTTTTTTAATTCAGGGAGTATGATCTAGGTGATGGAAAAGTATCATTTCCCGTGAACCTCACTTTACAAGGTGATGTAACAGTTGTAGTATACCATGGCCGATCTACACTAGGAGGAAAGGTTCAAGGAAAAATGACTTCCATGAGAGTCTTTATGCTTCAATTCCACACTGGATTTATCAAGACTTCTGCGCATAAACTTAAGTACTCACGGTATGCATACAGTAAATAACTTTCCACCCTTTTTTTTTCTTTTATGCAATGTTTTCTTGTTTTCTAATTATTTTGGTAATTTAACCCTTCACTCACTGATATCAGTATACATATCCTCCATGCTCTTCTCTATACATTTCCTTCGGTACTGACAAGGAGAATTTGTTTTACAATCAGTGCTTCATAGGTTGGCAATCATTTCATGTATTCTTGTGATGTTTATGAATGATTGAACTGTAGTAGTACTGTAAGAGGAAATTAATTGCTGGTTGCTTTTAGGGCCTAACAGGTTTATGGACCAGCTTGATAACAATATTTCTCTTTTTTATCAACTTACACAGAGATGAGGTGGACATCAACAAGGATGATGAAAGCAAGTTTACTTCACGTTTTACTGTTACACTTGACATCACTGTTGATGCAGAGGAAGCAAGCAGTTTGCCAACTCACACATGGGACACACTCAAAACTGAGAAACTCTTCCCTCAAGTTTGTTTTTCTACAAAGGAAGAATATCTAGAATGTCAGGAAGAATTTGGTTAGTAGCAACCCCGACCTTATCCTGTTTTGGCAATCCCCAGCTATCTTGAAACTTCTTTGTCCCTTCCTCTCTCATTGAATTTCATGGCAAAGTCTTACAACAATGCAAAGCTCAGTAGAAAGCAAAGAGCAACAATAATGTGGGGCAGACTAGCAGTTGTATAATATTTCCACAGTCCTTTACAAGGATGAGACTTTCTCTGTCAGTGTCATTCTCAATAATAGGTGAATACCTTTTTCTAACCATTCCTTATAGCTTATTATTACCTGGTTTGCTTGTTCACAGTAAACGCAGATGATCGCGAATCAAACATGGTTTTCAGTTCAAAATCAAATGAAATAGAAGAGGATGATGACAATGAGGAACTCCAAGTTCCTTCTGATGATGGTAATGATGGTGCAACAGGCAGTAAGCCAAACAAAAACTTCCTTTCATCGATTGACTGGAATACTGAAGGTGCAGGAACCAACAGCAGTGATGATGAGTTTGAAAATCTGCGTGACAAGGATCATGACAATACTTCTCAACAAGCACACCAGACTCATAATTTCTTCTCTGAAAGGGAAGGTGTTGGAAATGACTTGGATGAAAATTTAGACTTGTTTAATTTGAAATCACCATCAGGTGATGAATTCAATACCGACTTGTTTAATTTCAAGACTGCAGGTGAAACAAATGGTCATCTGTTTAATTTGGATGATGATGATTCAGATTCTGATGATCCTTCTTACCAGGTAGATTTGCTGAATTTAGGCAGTGGTCAACAGAATCAGGGAGTTTCTTCAAAGCCAACATCTCACATCTCAGTCGTGGATGACATGGGAGTTGATCTGTTGAATTTATCACCAGCAGGAAGTAAGGATAGTCAAAATGTGGATCTTGTCAGTGGAACAGAGAAGAGCCCTCATCGAAAAATGAAACGAAATAAAAGTGCTGATGATGTTCTTAGTCCTGGACTGCATGAGGATGATGACTTCTTCAATCAGATGGGAAGTCGTAGCTCCAGCTCCAGCAGGGAAAATGTAACTTCATTCACTGTTGCTGGTGCAGATTCTGCCACATTTGATCCCTTTCAGACCACAAGGACTAAATCTCCTGATCTGTCCTCAGGGGGTAATGGGAGGGAGCCAGCATCCTCAGACCTATTTGATCCATTCAGCTCTAAAAGTCCAAGTTCAAAGCCTTCTGATGAGTTTGATCTTTTTGGTGCTAAGCCAGGTCAGGGCAGCAGCAGTACAGAAACATTTCCACCCTTAAGCACAAATAATGGTGGATCAAACCTGAATTCATTTGATCCATTTGGAAAGACCTCCACAGAGCAAGACCTCTTTGGAATTGGTGGTTCTCAGGCTCCCACAACCACAGCTCAGGCTCAAACACAGAGCAATACTGATCTGTTTGGAGACTGGGGTGACTCATCATCAGAAACTCTTCAACCATCTAAAGTTCCATCACCAATTCCTCAAAGAGCACCAACCAGCCCAGCACCACAGAACAAACCTACAGCAACACCAAGTGATCCTTTCTCTGACTTTGGAAATTTGACATCAAATTTACCGAAGTTTCCCTCTGTTCCAACATTTAAAGCAGGTACATCAACTTCACCCAAACCACAAAAGAAACCCGATTCCTCCACTAGTGGCAATCCCTCTTGGTCTCGTCCAGCCCAGCAACCATCTTGGCATTCTGGGGCTAAACCAAGTGGCCCATCAAAGGTTCCACAAAAACCAAACTATGCACCCTCTTACAGTATGTCTGGTTCTTCTGGGGTATTTGGAAACTATGGACAAAAATGGAGTGGTAAGAATGTATTTTTTCTATTAAATTACTCTAGTTTAATCTCTATAATTATGAGTGTAGACCCTTGTAAATCTTTTCTCTATCTTTTTAGAGGACACACCTCAACTCTGATTGAAGGAGTAGTATGAAATGGAACCAATTTGATACCAATGATGTATGAGAGTATAAGGGTGAAATAAACTTCACCCTTTCAGCCCTAGTAGTGACCAAACAATCCTGACTCCTTGTTGTGTTGTTAAATTTGTTTCAAAGCATTCTTTAATGATTTCTTTTTCAGCACCCAAACCAGTTGGCCAAAATGAGTTTAGTGACATTCTAAATGCACAAGGTTTTAATCGCCCAACTGCACAAGGAGCACAAGGGGCACAAACTCTAAGCTCTCTAAAAAAGGAACAAAACAAACCTGATGACCCTATCAAGGCTAAGGTACTGTACCATTAAGAACATAAATCGTTAATTAATTTATCAATTTTACGACCACTGGTCATCTTTGCAACCATTCTTTACCTTGATGGTTGTTCACCAGACTGACTTGACATGCAGCATCCACTTAGAAAATGGCTAATTTTCTTCTTTTTTTTTTTTCCAAGGTTGAGGAGTGGTCTGAAGGTAAAAGAGGCAATATTCGGGCCTTATTATGCTCACTCCACCTTATACTGTGGGAAGGAGAAGACAGATGGAAACCATGTGGCATGCACAATCTTGTTCAACCTGAACAGGTAATATATAATCACCACAAATAGTTTATTATGATTATGCTATGAATACAAGCATCTCTCTCAGATTTACTAGACTTGGGATTTATTTATTGAAATTTGTGTTTAGTAATTTAATGAGCTTTATGTTCTAACTCATTTGTTGGTCTTGTAATAAAAAATACAGAGAAATTGAAACCTTTTCTCCCAAGATATTATTGGTAATTCTCCTTACTGTCTACTATTTAATCGTTGTGATGTAAATTCTGAGGATTTGGTATTGGATCATTTAATAATCCCATAATTGATATTTTTCTTTATTCTCATCCCTTTTCTGCTAGCTGTTATGATAAAAATTGTAATTAGAAATTCCATCTTGGTCAGTCATGGGAGTTAAAGTGTTGAAGTGTTTCTCCGTGATGAGTCTTCAGAATGTTCTTATTTTAAATGCATTGACAAACAGATCAATTCTTTATTGTAGGTGAAAAAATGGTACAGAAAAGCTGTACTATCAGTACATCCTGACAAGGTGGGTACATCTTTCCTTGAAAAATCCATAAATTCTCCAAAATTAATTTCTTTACATTTCAGTCTACAGTCATTCAGAGAATTTGTGTAATCATCACAACATAGTTTTGAAAACATAAATTCTTGTTTGTTTGTTTGTTTGTTTGAAATGAATTACCTGAATATGTTGGCAGGAAACTAACAAGGTTAACTGCTGTTATGGAAGTCAATTTGTCAAAGGTTATTTTACCAGCAGATCAAATTATGATTTATTTTATGTGAACTGTTAACTGTGTCAACTTTACATACACTAATGTACTATTAATGTGATCAGATGCCTGGCTTTCTATCCCAGTTAGTATGTGGGAGGCACTGTCCAATTTAAATTAAAGCCTTAATTTTTCCAGACTTCTTGACCCTAATTTAATTGTAGTAAATCTTTAACATTTGTTAGTCTCCTATATACTGGTCAAGTCAGATTTATGTGATATGTACAGGACAGAAATCAGTTCATCAACACTGATTCCTTATTTTACTTTTTAGCTGACTGGCAGCCCAGAAGAGTCACTAGCACGTGCAATTTTTATGGAATTAAATGATGCATGGGCAATATTTGAAAAGGAGGGATCAAAACCATTATTTTAAAGGGAAATGTTAAAACACATGTTGTATTAGTCAAGTGGCAAGAGTCTTAAAATCAATAGAAAGAGACAATGGAACTAGCAAACACACTACACAGCTGAACCAGTCTCTGCTGGTGGGGTCATAGATAATTAAGAGATACAGTTAGTATCATTTGTAAATGTGCTATGATTTGTCAATTTAGTGGGTAGACATTTTACTGTACAGTCTGATAAATTCAAGAGTTGGTTTGAACTGAAATCTTCCCTCATCTGTTTGAACTCCTAGAAAAAAATCTTGCTTATCTTGTTTTCTCTGACTGTACTTAAATTTACATAACTACAGTAGGACCGCGAACTCATTTAGTAAGAAGTATGTATATTAAACGGCTAAGAATATATGGAAGTCATATATTTGACCTGCGGATAAAGACATGGATGAAAGTGATCCTCGCAGTAATGTACACTACTTGAGCAGTAGTGAAAATAAGGCCTGAAAAAAAATTCAGGCCTGTACTGCACTGGTATCGCAGAAGTCATGGGTTCATATCCTGTACAGGCCTGAATTTCTTTCAGGCCTTATTTTCACTACTGCTCAAGTAGTGTACATTTCTGCAAGGATCACTTTCATTCAAGTATGTATATTGTTGGGAAAACACACTTATTTGTAGATGCTACAAGTTGATGTACATGTTTATACATTATTTCTTGAGAGAACTACTGAGAATCACAAATCGTTTCTCACAATCTTACTTCATATCAAATTCTTCCCCTCCCCTTCCCTCCCCTCCCCTATCCCTGATATCCTTTGGACAAAAAGTATCAATGTTATTGTCAAAGATAATGCCAATAATGACTTTAATTTAGAACAACTACCTTGATTCACGTTGTTTTTCCTTTAAGGTATTAAGTTATCTTTCCTGGTTAGGGGTGTAAGGAGTATTATTTTTCATGAAAAAAAGGAAGCAGAACAATTCTGGTATTTGTGGTCAAATAATATAGAGTTGACTGAGGGGTATTATTTTTAATTATTACAAAATAAGAAAGAATCAAAACTTCTTAGGACGCAAATTTGTTTCATCCAAGAGACTATCACTTAGAAGTAGTGATGTGTGAAACAATGTCTAGTGGATATTAATCTTTTAAAAAAAAAGTCCTTGCCGTTGATAGTAACTAATGAGGAATTAAAAATTATTTGCGGTAGCTTGGTGAACATGTTATAACTCACTGTTTTTAAGAATAGCTCATCTACTCCAGACATCTTGTTTTGTGGGGATAACCTGGTTAAAATGATTGATGAGAGTTGTGTCTCATTCAAAGTCGACAGTGTGGAAAAACTTTGTTTTTAGATTGTCACTTGCTATGGTGCATTGGTCAATTTTTAATGAAGGGTGGGTACAAGCCACTAAATTAGATGAAGCTTCCCATTAATAGTGTGTGCTGGATGTATTAGCCCTCAGTTCATGGGAATTACCTAGTAATAGTTATCAAAACAAAGTTTATGCTAAGGGTAGTGCTAAGGTAACAGCTGGTTTTGCTACATTTTGAGTTTGCTATATATGAGTCTGCTACATCAGTAAACCTAGTAAACCAGTGTTAATCAAATGTTAGTTGTCAAACTAGTTGGTATAATTGAAAAATCTGGGAAATGGTCTGGCATTTATTACACAAAGGGCTTTCCCTTGATAAAGTTTTTAATGCAACTGTTGCCTTAACTGAAGGTACACTTTTTAAGAAGTGATCAAGAGACACTGTTCTTGACAAGCCTCAATATAGGTTACTGCTGACAAAGATTTATCACAACAAACTCAACTCAATATATAGTCAGTTATGATTATTACTTTGTATTTTATTTTCATTCTTTCCTACGAAGCTTTCTACAAGATTAGACAAGTTACTTTGATTTATGAAACTATTACAAAACTGAATCTTTTGCAATTATAACACAAATTGCTTACCTACATACCAACAGTTCAAGTTAAGTATTCTTGAATTTTACCTCCATTTTGTGAATAACCTCAGTGATTCCTCAGATCTTTCCATTTCCACATGGTTCACCTATCTAGAACTAGTCTAAGGATTTCACTTCAAAAAGTGTTCTATTGCTTAAGCAGAAACCCTTGCATAACTCTTCAGTTCCAACATAATGTTGGTGGAAAACTGAATTTGTCTCCAATCATTGTGGCTTAAAAGAACCTGTTTCTAACTGACAAGTTCAACAATCTTGGTATGCAATCTTTAGAAGCCTCCTCCTAGCTGAGTAAATAACATAATTTATTTCTTTCAATAATCCTTTCACCTCCAAGATTTCTATATGCCACACTGTTTGCACTGTTTTCAGTTGTTGAATCAATCATTATAAAATAATTCAAATAGTACGCATGCTCTGATTGGCCATAAAACCATTTTACATGAACGTATGTAAAAACAGTTTTCATACTGAATCTTCTCGCAGAGTTCTCCTTACTATTTATTTAGCAGTAACTCATTTTCTTTAAGTTTGTTTTGAGTACAGTAATGGAAGAAGATTTTCCTAATTTTTCTTTGGAGTTTAATTTTCCCAGTATTCAAGAAACAGCCGAAAAGCCAAATGAACAACAAGCACGTCGCTTTCCTTCGTTGCAAGAAGAGGCTCTTTCATTAGTTATTTTATAAAATAAATGTAAAATGGTTTCCGTGTTTACATAGCTTGATGTAAACATGCGGAAGGTTGGGAGAACACTAACCTCCCGCGTGTTTACATCAGGCCATGTAAACACGGAAACCATTTTACATTTCTTCAATATTGCTTAGTGGATGTTTTCTTGTCACAATTCTCCCTTATAATGCACTGATATGGTGGGAAGAAATTACATACTGGTCACCCTGGTAGTGAAAGGGTTAAATTTGGTGATGATTGTGTGAACTTCAAATGAATTTCTTTTGTTCATTCCTTATCAATTTGATCTTTTCGTTTGATTTGCAAAAGATGGACTCAAACTCAGTTCTGAAGCTCTAGTAGTCCCATAATAACTTCACATTCTGCTTCATCTGCATGCAATACTGGCTTGGATCTTTATTTCTGACAGAGATATTTCACTCATGTCACTTGATACACTGTGTGGATGGTTGTGCATGCACTGGAGTTGTGACCACATCTGGGTCAGTTAACTTCAAGTTTCATTGTGTGTCCTTTGAAGTTTAGTCCACTTCTACGTCAGTTATTTTCACTACCTATCACACATCGACATGAAAGCATTCTCTCTCAAATTTTTCAAGAGGTTCTCGAGGTCCATTTGTGTCCCATCTGAGTGCACATAGTTGAGTATATATTGTACTAAAACGTGGTCTACTTGGAGGCAATATATCCCAGCATTCTTTCATTAAAAAAAAGATTCTGGCAGGACAGTCTGCAGGGCATGGTAACAACACATGTTCTCTAATGTGGTCCATGACCTCTTCATCTGAGCATCCTTCATGAGGCCTGGAACCAAAAGAAAATATCTCCCAGAGGACCACACCAAAGGACCATATATCTGTCTCTACAGTGAACCTGTAATTCAATACCCCTTCTGGAGCCATCCAGCGTATGGGCATAGGAGGTCTATTTGGAACACGACAATAGTCATCGGAAAAAGGGTTCCGTGATAAAGCCATGTCTGTAATTTTGACAGTCATACGAGGCCCCACCATACAGTTGCGAGCTGCTAAATCTCCATGGATGTAATTATGTTGGGATACGTAATTCATTCCAGCAGCAATTTGAATAGCAATCTGCAGTTGATCATAATAATTAAGAGGTTCAGGATCTTCGTCATCATCCACAGCTCCCTCTAGAGGCGAGTTCTCCACCAGGTAGTCATGTAATGTGCCATACTCTACGCACTCATACAGTATACATGTGGGAGGCCCATTGTAACACATTCCCACAATGCTGATAACATTTGGATGACTAAATTTTGACCAAGTCTCTGCTTGGCGCAAGAAGGTTTCCCGGTTCCTTGCAGATGAGCTGTTTCGGAGTACTTTTGCTAAGATAGCTCTTGTCTGGATTCCTTCAACCTTCTCCAAAACTTCACCTTTGTACAGTTTGCCAAATTCTCCTTCACCTACATCTTTTATGAATCTTACAGTCTCTCTACGCATCTCTTTGATCTGAAACAAAAAATGGAGAAAAAAAAACCAAGTTTGCTATTTTCTTACTAATATAGCAAACTCTTGATCTTGAGCATCTTGGAGACTTTTTTGAAGTGATTTTAATGACACACAATTCCTTGTTTTCACATTTCATTTGTGGAACAAGGAGAACTGATTTGCTATGACAGTCATTCATTGCATCAAAAATTGTTATCCCCTCACCACAATTTGCACAGAACATACCTTTGGATATGATGATTTGCCCACAACAGGTACAAGTGGAGTGGCAGCTGTCTGAGCAGCTTGGTAGATGATCTGCTTATGATATCTCCAGCAAATGAAGATCACCACTAACGAAAAGATGATGGCAAACAACAGACATGGAATAACAGTGTACAAGATGCTTACAATCTGTATAGATGGTGGAGTAGTGGATGTTTTATCTGAAAGAACAAGTTAATCATTATGAGGACTTAGAAGTTCATGTATTTCACACCACTTCATCTTGCACTTAGTAGAAGAAAAAATTATTAGAAACAACCTCCCTTAACCCTTTCACTACCATGAGTGACCAAGACAGAATTTCTCCTTACAATATCAAGCAATAACAACCAGATAAGTGATGAGAAAAAAGAAAAATATCAATTTGGGGATAATTAGTTGATCCAGTACTAAATTCTCTAAACTAACATTATAAGAATTGTATGGTTGACAGTAAGGAGAATTATAAATTTGATCTGGGAGTTACAGCGTTAACTCTTTCACTCCCAAAAGTGACCAGGAAAGAATTCCTCCCAACATTATCAATACAATATCAAGTGGAAATGTGATGAGAATAATGAAAATTACCATTTACAGGATTAGTTGATCCAATATCAAACTCCCCAAAATAACAACATAATAACTATATGCTGACAGTAAGGAGAATTACTAATGAGATCTTGCGAGTGAAAGGGTTAACCCTTTACACCTCTACATCAGTATCCATACTCTCTGTACTCTTCTTCATACATTCTGTTTGGTACTGACAAGCTCATATTGTTATTGTTATTATTGCATATGACATATCTCGGCCCATCTCCCGTCTGTTTATCAGGAGTCCACTACACTATTAACAAGAACACACCTCCACTATACCACTTTTAACCTGTTTACTCCCCAAAGTGATTGATATGTATTTTATCCCTACAATATCCATCCATTATCCAGCAAATAAGTTATGAGAATATTGAAACTTATAAGGTTGAAGTTATCTTTATCTAGCACCAAGCTCTCAGTACTAATTTTCAAGGAAATGTGTATGAGCTAGTGGAGAAAATTAACAATCAGATCTTGGGAGGTAAGGGTTATTTAACATCCATTCAAGATTCAAAAAAAAAAAAAAAAAAAATACTAGCTTACCACAACTTGGAATATCACAGTAATCAAACTTAAAGTCGACATCAGTAGTAAAACACCATGGTTTCTCCTTTTTCCCTCCAGGATTTCGACAAAAGTTGTGTCCTCCTGCAAGCTCAGGGTATTCTGTTGGCGACAAAATGTGATGATGAGGTTTGGTAGCATTCCAGTGCTGACATTTCAGGCCTTTTTCTGTAACACTAACATTTGCACGGAAATCTTCTCCTCTGTCTTTATAGCATGCATTCATTGGTGTAGCTGAAACCAAGACCAAACAAATATTAAAACTACTGAGATTTCATTTAATTAAAACACTACTCTCCTATGGTATCATGTTTTACTACAAGCTTTGTAATGCTGAGCTCAGTGTGGTTGTGTTTCCTTACTTTATTCATTACATCTTGACCAAGACAGAATTTCTCCTTACAATATCAATACAATATCAACCAGATAAGTGTTGAGAATATAGAAAAATATCAATTTGGGTATAATTAGTTGATCAAATTATAAGATTGTATAGTTGATAGTAAGGAGAATCCCAAATTTGATCTGGGACTTAAAGGGTTAAGGAATGAAACAAAAACCAATTGAGCAAGTCTTACTACAGCAAGAAATATCTTACTGTGGTAAGAAAAACAGTAGATAAAACAGGAGAGAATTGTCTTTTTTATAGGCCATTTAAGCAATTAACAATGCTGACTTTCACGAAATGTTATTTCCTAGTTGATCAAAACAGCAGTCCACAGGTGAATTAGTGTAGTGTATGCACCTACACAAACAAAATTTCTTCAGTAAATACTTAATTCATAAATTTTGATTTATTTCATTTTCACCTGTGTACTTCTTTCATGTGAATGTCCAAGTGCTGAGATTTCAACCTAGCGACTTTGCGCAAAACTTATTGTAAACAACACAAACAAAAATTATTAGATAAAGCTTTAGTACCTGTTTGACAAGTTATCATAACATGTACTCTTTCCTTAGTAGTTTTCAGCTATGATTATCATGATTTTGTTGTTCAAGTTCCTTAATTGAGTTAAACCACAAGATTTACTCCCAAAGGTTAATATAATTACAGTATGAAGGAAGAGGAAGAAATAACAATCTCTGATACTAACCGTTCTTTCCTACCACTGGCTTTGTATTTCTCTGAGCATTGCCCTTCAATTTAGATATACAGTTCTTTCCCTGCTTTGAATCTTTATGAGGCAATGTTGAACATTCTGGAAGAAGGACTCCCTGTAGCGATGCTTTTCTAGCCTCCAAGTACTCATTTTTACAAATATCAGTGCGCAAAAATTCACATTTTTCATAACA